ATAATACTAATATTTAAAAATCTACGTGAAAAAAAATATTACTCTTTTATTGGATAACGGTCGTAGCATTTTGTATTAGGTTTGTTTTTTACAGTCATGTCTGAAAAATCTATATTTTTTTTTTTTTGTTATTACATTTTATTTTTCGATATAAAACTTCGATATAATCCGATTGATGAATTAGGTACGGCTAGCATATAGTATACTTCCTCCGTCCCACATAATTTGTCCCTATTTTCTATTTTCGTCCGTCCCACGTAACTTATCCTTTCTATTTTTGAAAATATAATTATGCACTTTAATTGCATTTTAAATTTTAAATTTTATAATTTTCTTAATTTTAATTAAACTATTTACTTATCTTAATCTTAATTTATAATTATTTTTACTAATTAATAATTATTTTTACTAATACACTTTTTAATAACTTATTAATAATACTTTACCTAAATTCTCATGTCTACCGTAATACACTCGGGATGGAGGGAGTATAATTTAACCAAAAATAAATCCAAAATCATTTTAATTTTATTTAAATTCATACTAAATTGGGCTTAATTAGGTTAAGCAAGACTGGCCCAGTGTGGACCAAATTGATCCGCCTGGGCCTGGCCAACTTAATTAGGATTGTTTTACAATATTGATCCTATACTGAAAAATTGATATATCAATACTATGCTTGTACAGAATTTGTATATAATATTTTATGTTGAAATATCAAAATTAAACAATATATATTTTTCCAGTCTTTTTCTAAAGGTCACATTTATATTTTTATATTTGTATATTGTTTTTTTACAAATGTTCTTCTGTTAGTATTACAAGACACTAATAAAAGTATTTTTGTAATTGTTTATTAATTTGTACTATATTTCAATATAATGATTAATATTCAAATATCGCAGAGTTTAAGAAATAATAGTATTTTAATCGTAGTGAGTACTTAAACGTAATATAAATATAATTTTGTCTTTACTTTTGGTGTAAAAGTAATGATGCGGCAGTATAGTAAGAGTATTTATTTTTTTTTAAAAAAAGAAAAAAATTTATTATATTTTTGAAATAGTTACTTTATAATTAGACAATCTAACTTAAAAATATGTATATTTTGTAAGTGGACGAAAGGAGTATAGGGTGTGTTTGTTTTGTGAAAATGAGTTGAAGAAATATTTTTTATGTGAAGTATAGAGAATCCTGTATTGAATATAAAAATAATAAATGTGTGTAATATAGAGTAATATTTTTGGAAAAATGTGTGGAGAAAAAATTAAAAAGAACAAACCCTATAAGTTTTGGAAAAGAATTTGAAAAATAGTTTTAGTACGGAGACTGAATGACGTTAAACATGTCCCGGGTCGAAAACGGAATCTGATTTTCGTGGGACAATTGGATGAGGTAGGTTACTCGACAGTTTTTTAAACTAAGTCGTAGAAGGTAACCCAAGGGAGAAGAGATAGAACTCTCTACATGACGAAAAACATGCAAGACGGATCAGTTATGTGGCCATAAATAACGACACAAAGCACCCCCGCAGATCACAAGGGATTCCTACAACTACAATCAAATGTCTGATGCCTCCCAGTCTACCTTACCAACGATTCAGGCTCTAATACCATTTGTTACGAAAATTTCAGGAAATCAAGAAGAGGTAAACAAGGACAAAAGAGCACAAGTATTTGGTAACCTAGTTCGATCACGATAATCTACGTCTGGGGCGCTGCCAAGTCAGGAATTTTACTATAAAATACGCAGGTACATGTTAAAGTGAGAATACATGGATATTTATAACTTAAGCTTATGCCAATAATATCCAGATTATATCTCTAAAATCTAGAATATAATATCTAAATCATATCCCTAAATTTTAGGATATAATCAGGCTTCATATCTCAATAGTACACTTATACCAAATTATCGATATATGTCGATATACGAATATAAAAATATCAAAATTGTATACTATATTTTTTGGCATGTACCGAAATACCAAAAATGCCAAACTATATATTGTTACCATGCCAGAAAAGATCGATATAGTATCGTACCATACCAAAATTTCAGTATTTTTTATATTTATTTGATATGTTGTGTATGATATTTAGATATTTCAATATTATTTTTTGCGGTAATTAGAGTGCTGACTGTGTCAAATTAGTAATGTGTTGATTTGTTCAAATTAGCATACTAACATGAAACAATTAACATTTTATTACAAGATAGAGCATGTGCTCTATTATATAGAAGAATGTGCTATATGTGTTATATATTGTGTTATGATATATAATCGACTTATTATTGTGCTATATAAAATTATATAATATATTATGTTATATATTGTATTAACATTTGTTGTATGTATTGATAGTATTGTGTTGTATAATCTGTTTATTGTGCTAAAATAAAAATATATTGTACTAAATATAATTATACAATATGTAATATATTATATTAAGATGTATTATTGAATATGTGCTAATTTTTTATAAACATGTGGTGCTGATGTGATAAATTATGTAATTATAAATTTAATTAATACAATGTTTACTTTGATTAGTTAAACATTAGATCAAATTGTAGGCAAAATTGTTCGTAACTCCCTTGTGGTTTCGAAATCCAACGTAATTTTTTTTTTTTTTTTTACTTTAAAAATTGTATGACGCCTCCTTATACTTTAAAAAATGCTACATCAAACTACTATGTGGTTTTGAAATTCAGCATAAATCCTCACTTTATTTTAAAAAAAATTGCATGACGCTCCCTTATACTTTAGAAAATATTGCATAAAACCCCATGTCATGCAAAACCTATAGATAGGAAATCATCTTCTTATCACACGAAGAAGGTTTCATAGTGGTGGAGTTTCAGGTAATATTTTTTTAAGTATAAGGGGGTACAATACAATTTTTAAAGTATAAAGAGATTTTATGATGAATTTCAAAATCACATGGAAATTATAAGCAATTTTACCTAAATTGTATTATGTATAGAAGTTTCTAAAATAAATCAAATTATATTTCAAAGTCAAACAATATTGCTGAAGTGGTTACCGTTAATGATTTATTCTAGATCATTGGATAAGTGTTTAATCTAAAGACTATACTATATTATTTAATACAGGATAAAATTGAAAAAAAAAAACACATTGTTAATAATCATTCACCAAAAACTAATTTATATTCAATACACATCAATAATACTCTCTTCGTCCCAATACAATAGTCTTGTTTACTATTTTTGTCCGTCTCAAAATAATAGTCTTATTTTCATAAATAACTATATCACTATATAACTACCCTTACTTTTTCATTATTATTACACAATTGTCACTACCTTTTACACTAATACATTCACAAGGGCAAAAATGTCTTTTACCTATACTTTTTACCTACTATCAATATAATATCAATATTCCTTAAATCCTGTGCCCAACACAATTAAGGCTATAGTTCCAGAACGGGGGAGTATAACTTAGAATATTTAGACAAAAATATGAATATATAAACAACATATAGTTCATATTTTTTAATAAATAATTTATATGAATACAAACAATACATTAATAACATCCAATCGACACTTATATAAAAATATATATATATACTTTTTTCATTCGCTAGAATTACGATATTATTTGGTTTTGCCCGTTCGTTAAATTTATATTTATTCTATTATTGCTACTAATTTTCTTACTTACTCCACTATATTTTTATCAACTTTCAAATAATTACCCCAACTTTACTTTTTTACCTATCAAATTTTAATATTAAAATATTATTAATTATTAATTTGAGTATTCAACCAAAGTTATATTAATTTTTCCAAATAAATATATATATATATAATTATTAAATTATCCTTATAAAATCTACATCATTCAATTGGCCATATCAATAATTTAAAATGGCTTTAAATAAGTAGGTTGCCTAACCGCATGCCTTTATAGTGGTGGATAGCATAGCATGATAATTATACCGATAAGGTATTATCCAAGTAACAAAGTATGTATTAGTAAGGTTATTCAATGCCTTGTCTTGATAAAATAAAATAAAATAAAAAATTAAAAATAAATCAAATTTAATACGTTTAAAGATTTTTTTTTATAATTTTAATAATAGAAAAAATAATATTTAATATCAAATAATTAACTTTTTGTGAATTAATAATATATATTATATATTATAATGTTTTAATAATATTTATCAAAAATTATTCTAACTAAAAATACTAAGTGATCAAATACTTAAATTTTAATTTTAAATTCAAAATACTCTTCAAATTGTAAAATATAAATAATTTAATATTAATTGTAATTTTATTTTAATTGTTATATTATCTTTAAATTAAAATTTTAAAATATAAATGATCAAATTTTAAAAATATATTTTTTATACTCTAATTTAAAATCTTTAAATATAATTAATAAACTTTAAAAATAAATTATAAAAATTTATAGAAGAATATTGCTCCCTCCAACATCTAAATGTATGCTAGGGGCATGTATTTTAAAAAAAATTAATAAAAATAAAAATATTTTATTTTTAGAATAAAAAGGAGTAGAAAAAATGATATTTTTTTTACTATAAAAGAAAACGAAAATAAATTTAAATAACAACTAAAAAAAAATGAAAATAAATTTGAATGACAAATGGAGTATTATTTTAACTGTGCCGTTATTTTTAATAATTTTAACAGTTAAAAAAACACGCTCAATTCTATAACATTCAAACAAACAATTTTTTATAAAAATTATCCAAACACAAAAGTTAACTATTTTGGTTTTGAATTCTGTTCATTTTTAAGTTTATTCAATTAAAATTATCCCACGTGGGGCTTAAGAGTTGAGTAGGGCCTAATACTATCTTTTTTTTTAAAAAAAAATAAATTATTTTTTATAAAATATTATATCAAAAAATAATATAAATAAATCCGAACATATATACCCTATAAATTCATTACAAAATCTTAACAATCAATAAATTAATCTTTTAGGTTTACCAAATTAAAAGTAATTACACAAATAATCCAGCAAACAATCTCTCTCCGACCTCCGGAAATGGATTCCCTTCCCGCCAATATTATCCTCAATGTCCCGCCCTTCTTTCGTCTCCACGCCTCCGGCCACGTGGAGCGATACCGTGAGCACGATTTCGTCCCGCCGTCAACCGACCCCCAGAACGGCGTCGTTTCGAGAGACGCCGTGGTCTCGCCGGAAAACAACCTCGCCGTCAGGCTCTACCTCCCAAAATCCAAAGCCGCCGGAAAACTCCCCCTCCTCATCTACATCCACGGCGGCGGATTCTCCACCCAGTCCGCCTTCTCCTCTGTCTACCACCCCTACGCCAACTCCCTCGCCGCCGATTCCAATTCCGTCGTCGTTTCGATCGACTACAGACTGGCGCCGGAGCATCCCCTCCCAGCCTGTTACGACGATTCCTACGCCGCCGTGAAATGGGTCGGGTCCCACTCCCGGGTCGGGCCCGACCCGTGGCTGAACGAGTACGCCGATTTCGAACGGGTCTACATCGCCGGCGACAGCGCCGGCGCCAACATCGCGCACGACGTCGTGGTCCGATCGGCCGGCGGTTCGTCGTCTCCGGCGGAAAGCCTGGGGCTGAAATTCTCGGGTCTGATTTTGATCCACCCGTTCTTCGGGTCGGGCGAGCCCACGAAAGTGTGGGATTTCATCTACCCCGGCTCGACCGGTCCGACCGAGTTCCGGCTGATTCCGGCGGCGGACCCGGCGCGGCTGTCGAGACTGAGTTGCGAGCGAGTGATGGTGGTGGTGGCGGAGAAGGATTATTTAAGGGACAGAGGTCAGCGTTATTACGAAGCGTTGAAGAGCAGCCATTGGAAGGGGTCGGTGGAGCTCTTCGAGACGCCGGGCGAACACGTTTTTCATTTGTTTAATCCGACTTCTGAAAATGCGATTTCGATTATGAATCGCGTTTCTCAATTCGTCAACGCCCGACCTCGTCCGAAGTCGCGTTTCTAAGAATCGCGCTTTTGGTATAGCTACTAATAAGTCGCGTATGAGGTGTTGCACCTCTCTCTACATAATCTTAACTTAACTTAATTTATTTTTTTTTATTGTTTTTGTCCACCTCGTTAAAAGATATTTATTTTAATTATAATAAAAATAATTATATATAAATATTAAAATATTATTCTTTCCGGCCTCTAACGATCACATTTACGTTTTGCATCTGTTAATACGTTTTTTCAACAATAAAAAGTAAAATTCGAAAATAGAGAAATATTCCCGAATTTGATAGATGAATGTCTGAAATTAGAAACTTCTAAACACTGTAGAATGAAATAAGAATAAAATAAAGACTGGAAAATAAAGTGGTGATCCCCAAAAGCGATTTTCTTGAATTTGATGTCGATTGAAGATGCCCTCTCTATACCGTACATAATCTTTAAATAACCCCTTGAAGATACGGTTTGAACCGCTATCCGGTCGGTTACCATAACCGCTGTTAACTCTCCAAAAAATTCTCTTCTATCGACACGTATGAGAACCGTCACGTCACGTCCGATTTTAAAAACCACTCACCAGTCGAAACTACCTCCACTACCAGAAACTGCATTTTACCCGACCTATAGGGTAACTATTTTTAATACCTAACCTTCTTATGCCCGACCCTTTGGAATTTGTCCCGACTAGGTCCGACTTCTATATTCGATCTATTTGGTCCCGACCAGGTCCAATCTTATCAACCATCCGACTTTCTTAAATATGACCTTCGGACTTTGACCTGATTAGGTCCAATTTTGACGTCCGAACTATTTGCTCCCGACCAGGTCCAATCTCCTCATTCGCCCGACCTAGGGGATTTACCCGACCAGATTTGGACAGACTCAAAACTCATCCGACCTGGTTACTACAATAATATTTGGACTTTCAAAAGCCCATTGGACGTTTCAAATGACCTAATCTTGGCAGACCCATTTCCTAAAAACCTATCCATTATTTTGTGCTCAACAACTTGCCTCCTCCTGCCGAAACGTCACTCCTCGAACTACGAAGACGTGACGTTTTAGGGTTACAGTGTGATAATCACACTGCGCTGCGTCAAATCAAAAGGGTTTATGTTAAACCCCCACTTCATCTTCTCAAACTTACACATTCACAATTCTAGAACCCTTTCTGCTCTCGTATAACTCTCTCCTTTGTTTTTTCCTTCTATCTTTTCTCACCCTCGCGTAAATGGCTAACCAATACGTTCCTGCACTCCCTTTTGACGGAACCGAACCCTCAATACCCCTTGTATCTTCCAAAGTTCTTACCCCTACAATCCGTCCTTACTGCACTACCACCGCGGATGCTGAGCGTATGAGCTCAGTCATTGTTCAAGTTTCTCCTATTATCGTCAACAATGAAGCGTTCAAACCGGAACGTCTTCTGGATAGCATCAAGACTCACTTGACCGACCCAAAAGATGCTTACCGGAAATGGTACGCGAGGCTCCTTCCACATTTTGAAAATCAATGGAAAGCCCAAGAGATCGATAAAGCTATTCTCCTTTCGACGCAACCCCTCTACCTCCATGACAAGGTTCTGATGGCCATGGCGGCTTTTTGGCATTCGTAAACAGGTGCTTTTTTCCTCCCATCAGGTCCAATGGGTCCAACCCTAATGGATGTAGCAGTGATCACGCATTTGCCGATCATAGGAGAGGACCCCGTTCTGGTTTCTCTCGGGAATCAAGAACTTCCCCCCAACCATCAAGGTTGGGCCCTGGCCAAACTGCATGAAAGAGAAAGAGGATGGACATACTTTGTCATAAATATCAGGGTAAGGAGGATACCCCTGTTTCCGAGTTGGAACACACTGTTTTCCTCCTCTTTTGGCTCTGCAGGTATATCTTCTTCCCTTTTTTTTTTTTTTTTTTTTTTTTTTTTTTTAATATCTTTGGTATGCACGAAGTTTGAATGTTGAGCTTACATTCCTTTCTTCTTATCTTTCACAGATATATCATTCTTTCCCCTTCTAAACTTGTCATTTCAACTCATATTGACCTAGCCATTTATTTGGCATGTGGTCATTTCTCTTCTTTAGATACCTTATTTCTAGCCAACTTCTTTGAAGGTTTAACCCGAGTAAGTTCCCGTCTTACAGATACCAAAAAGGCGGACACTGCAGTCTCAGGACCATTTTGGTTCCTGGAACTGTGGTTCCGTCTATACTTCCCCTCTGCATTTTTTGGTCGCCTCCCAATTTCTCCTAACCCTTACAGGTCTATTGGCTATGCCTTAGCCAGATTGACCCCGAACTCTTCTTGTATAAAATCCTCTGACTCTATAATAACCCAAATTTTGACCGAAGATCGGAACAATTCCCGTTTTTTTGTATATATAACATTAATGCAATATTCGACCGATCTTTTCTTCCTTTATCCCGACCCAACCCATCCTTTAACTCGCCCAGATCCTCTCCCTCACCCGACCTATATTTTTTCCTGGGACGCCGCGATAAAACCCCGATCTCTGTTTTCTAGTAGGAGGTCGGATGAGAAGCATTGTAGATCATTTTTTACTTACAATTACCAACCTCAATTTTTGTCGAGGCAATTTGGTTGCTGCCAGGGCATACCAGGGCCATTAGCCAGTCCTCACCTTATATTTCAGAGCCCTGAGGGTCTGGTGATTCCCGAACTCATCCCGACCTATATTTCTCAACTCACCAGCTACATCACCTCGAATTCATATCTCCCGTTCTGCCCAAAACCTTCGACAACCAAAAATTTTCCCTCCTGGTGGTCGGCCACCTGGTCTTTACTTGCCCCTTCGACTGACCAATTGATCGAGAGACTTGCTCCACCCCCAGCTCTGGCTCTTGGCTCCCCCCGACTGGCAGTCAGAGGAAGGAAAAGGCAAGCCCCTGCGGCAGGTAGGTCGGGAGCAAAAAGACAAAAAGCAAAGGCCACTCCTGCTATCGATAGGCAGGCCATCGAGGAATATTTGGCTTCTCTGCCAATAAATACCAGTGGGATGCCAAAGTATCTAAGGCAACAATTTGGTAAGTTTTTGTTCCGTTCCTTATGTTATTTTCATACGGCCCCTTTCTAACTCCAATATGTCTATTTCAGAAGATCCTTCAATGCTCCCGACCACGTCTCAACCGACCGACCAACAATCACCCGAGGCACAACTTCCTATTAATTTATATTCGTCCCGATCAACTGCCGTCCCGACCATAGAACAACCATCTGTGGTCCGGACGACAGAACGACTAGCCATAGTCCCGATCACCACACAACCGACCCCCAGACAATCAGAGGTAAAAGATAGTGCCCGACATTCCTTAGACCAACAAAATATTAATTTTAAACAATAACTTCACACCTTTTACTGTAGGCACACCGACCAGGCGAATCGATGGGCAGGCTACCTCCTCCCCCAACGTCGGATATGGTTGCGGTGCTGCCCGACCAACCTGTTGTCCTCCCCGACCAAGCTGCGGAACCTCAACAAGTAAGCGCTAAACCTTCCTTCAACACCATCCTTCCGATAAAACTTCTGATACCTAAAACCTAGTTGGTCCAGACACCTATTGAAGATGTGGTATTGCCCGACCCCGACCAGGTCGTGGCTTTACCCGACCCGCTTGTTCAGCAAGTTGATGAGGTTCCTCTTGTTGGTCCCGAACCAGTCCAACCCGAACCAGTCCAACCACCCCACGAAGTAGAGGAAATTTCCTCCTCAAGATCGGGTGAAGCTTCCGTTAATTTTGCCCCGCTGGATCCGGTTGGTACCCTTTCTCATCCATTTTTGGATTTTATTTTTGCCCATCCAACGGTGCTGAAAACTTTTGTCTTCTGTTCAGGTATGGATTTAGCAGCCGCCCAACAACTTCCACCAGGGGATGAATCAGTTGCTGGTCCGATTACCTGACCAGTCAACCCCTCAATTTTCCAACTCATGGCCCCTTCCGAGGCTACAGCTGCCCTGAATCAAGTAACCTTCCGACCTTATTTCTTAAACAATTTTGCCATGTCTTTTAGCTTGCTAATCTTATTCTGGTTCAGGCTGCTCAGGAGATGAACATTTTGAACCGAATAGACCTCCTGACTCCCGTCAGAACCATTGTGGAACGATGCGCCAATTTGGATTTTGCTGACTTAGAACTGGCTGACCTTTCGGCGCTAGTCCAAGTCGCAATAACCCTATTGGTTCAACCTGCCCTGGAATCGGGAGCTTCACCAGTTCTCGATCGGATGATGGCCAGGATCACTGAACTTCAAGCTGAACTTCCTCTGATCCGACCCCCATTATCCGAAACGACCTCCTCCCGTCTGGCAGCAGATCCTAGTAATATTGAAGCAGATTTGAAGAAGGCCGACCAAGATCTCAGCGTGGCTAGGGCCCGACTGAACGAGCTCCGGCATGAGAGACAAACATTAGCTACTGAAATCGCTCAAAAGACTGAAGAACTACAACGACTTCAAGAACGATTGGAAGCTATAGATGATAGCATACAAGAGGGAAGTCGTCTGGTTGAAACACATTGCCTTAACCAAGCCAGTCTTTGTGACCAACTTCAGGCAGCCATTCAAACGAGACTTGTCCAGAGACACCAAGAAGCATACCAACGTCGTCGGGCCATCAAGTCAGAACTCAAATGGACCGACCTAAAAACTGCTTTACGGGCGCTTCTTTCCATGTAATTCAAATATATTGTACATTGATTCGGTTTTAACAAGTATTAATTCCTATTTCTAGAAAACAAATCCTATCTTTCCTGCGTTTTTTACTAGCCTAATCCAACAAACACAGATCCGTATTTATTGCCTATTACTAAATCACCTAACTTAGAAACCAGAATACTTATATAAACTCCGTACCTCCAACTCCAAAACATCACCATTACTTTCCATGCAATATGGTTTCTCCTCGTCTCCGTGTTCCTCTCTCAAATTGGGAAGGTGCTCTCCAACCATTCTTAGTAGGAAAGCACCCCATAGGCCACCACGCTGAAGATATGATACAGGTTCTGAAACAATTGGATTTCAAATTCAGATTTTCCGGCAGAGGCAGGAGAACCATTCATCGTACCATCCGACTGATGGAGCATATATCTACCAACTACGAACCTTATACCGACATACTCACACGAATATCGGACCTCGACCATCATCTAGACATGATAAACCATCATGTAACCGCCATTCTCCCAGACCTTAGTTGGAACAACGATTTTCAACCACAAAGATAAACACTCTCCAGACTGAGTGTCCTCGCTAAACGAGAGATTCAGTCTTTGCAGGACATGAAGTCCCGAACTGAGCACAATCTTCAAGATATGCAAGACAAATGGGATCGTTACCGCTTGGATTTGGATGATCTTCTGGATGAAGAACCTGAAATGGTCTCGACCTCAGTAGTCTGGGATGACACCATTAATCTTTCCGATGATTAGAGAACCCTTTTACCAATGGGTTCGAACCCTTTAAAGGGTCCTATGGTTTTTTCTTTTTCAAATAATCAATGACAAAGTTCCGAAAAGGCAGGGTAATATCTTTTCAGATACTTAGCATTAATATTCTCATGTACCGTTTTTCCATCTTGATTTATGATAATAAAGGCTTCATTTTCAATTACCTTATGAATGATGAAAGGACCTTCCCAGTTGGGAGACCACTTTCCCAATTGATCTACTTTCTTATAGGTCGGCAAAATTGTCTTCCAGACCAGATCACCTTCTGCAAAGAGCTTTGGGACCACCCTTTTTCCGTAATATTTTGCCCTAATCTTACTCTGCTTAATTACTTGGTCCAATGCGTTCAATCGATCTGTATCTAACTCTTCCAATTGTTGCCACATCTTTTGTAAATACATCTCATCAACATAGGCTGTTGTACTGGTCACCCTGGGTGAAGGTACGATAAATTCTGCAGGTAATACTGCATCTTGCCCGAATGTTAATTGGTATGGAGAGAATCCAGTAGAAGTACTTCTACTGTTTCGATGAGCCCACAATGCTTGAGAGAGCAGAGTATGCCATTTCCTTGGATTCTCCTCCACCATTTTCCGGATAATGCCAATAATAATTTTATTTGCTGCTTCGGCCAATCCATTCGCTTGTGGATAATACGGTGAAGAATGGTGTAATTTGACATTGTATTCGGCCAAAAACTCAATAAACTTCTCCCCAGTAAACATCAACCCTTGATCGGTTGTGAGAGTGTGAGGAATTCCAAATCGATAGATGATATGATTGAGTACAATTTCGATCACTTCTTTCTGCGTCGGATTCTTCAAGGGAACTGCTTCTACCCATTTGGTAAAATAATCAGTTGCCACAAGAATAAAAGAATGTTGTTTCGACGAGGCTGGATGAATCTTTCCAATTACATCCAATGCCCAAGCTTTGAATGAGCAAGGTTTAACCATTGTCTGCAAATCCACTGTTGGCAAATGATGTAAAGGACCATGCTTCTGGCACTCTTGACATGCCTTGAAAAATCTGATACAATCATAAAAAATCTTCGGCCAATAGAATCCCATACGATGAATGGCCCATCGCATATTTAAACCTGCCCGATGCGCACCACACATTCCTCCATGGACCTCCTTCATTATTTTAATAGTTTCATCATGTCCCAAACACCTCAACAAAACCCCTTCAAAGGTTCTTTTATATAAAATCCCATTAATTAGCTGAAAACGCAAAGCCTTTAAGCGAACACGAACCGGAGCAGTAGAATTTGGAGATTCCAAATATTCCGTAATCTCTGTTCTCCAATCAGTCCTAAAATCGAGACTGCCAATCAACTGCTGACAAGCGCTCTGAGCCAGATTATCAGCCAACTGATTTTCCGCTCTTGGCACATGCTCAAAAACTACTTCCCCGATTCTATATAACAAGTGTAGCACTACATCTCGGTATCTACGCAAATGGGGAAAATTACACGCGTACCGTTTCAATACTTGGTTGATAACAAGTTGAGAATCCCCATAGATTAACACAGACTGCACTCCCTTAGCGATAAGTGCTTCCAGACCAAAAATTAGTGCTTCATATTCTGCGGAGTTGTGTGTCATATCTTCCATTTGAAGCTGCAAATTAATTTTGCCGCCTCCTGGTCCTTCTAGTATTACTCCTGCTCCCGACTTTCCTTTCGAACGGGAACTATCAAAAAACATTTTCCAAGGGCTGGTGCCAATATATGACATTATTTTGTTTTCTGATGATCCATCGCTTGTAAACTCAACCAACAAATCGGCCACAACTTGTCCTTTCACTGCCTTGAGAGGTCGATGGTGTAGTGCAAAAGGAGCCAACTTAATAGCCCATTTCATTAATCTACCCTGCATGGTTGGTATGTGCAACATTAGTCTGACCAAATCCATTTTAGAAACCACTTCGGTTTCTCTTGGCAGAATATAATGTTCCAACCGAGTGCAGGCAAAGACCAAAGAATAACACATTATTCGGGCATACTGTAATTCAACTCAGGTCCTGCTAAAGTTTTGCTTAGATAATAAATGGCTCTTTCCTTACCATCTTCCCATTCTTGTACCAAGAGACTGCTTATCACATCAAAACTATTCGCCAAATATAACCGAAGAGGTCGGTCGCCTCTTGGAGGGACCAACATAGGCGGGTTAACCAATGCCTCCTTGATCTCCTCCAATACCTTATGTTGGTCCCGACCCCAAGAAAAATCGGTAGCCTTGTTTCGTAATAATTTCGTGATAGGTTTTAATTTCCCCGCAGCGTTTGATATAAAACGCCTTAGATAATTTACCTTTCCCAAAAAACTTTGTACCTCTTTGACCGACTGAGGCGATCGCATCGTTAGAACAACTTTGGCTTTGTTCGCGTCAATCTCTATTCCCTTTTCATGTACTAAGAACCCCAAGAAATTCCCCGCCGAAACTCCAAAGGCACATTTCGTTGGGTTCATTTTCAGGTTGTACTGCTTCATCCGAATAAAAGCATTTTATAAATCAACCAGATGTGAATCAAAGTCGGTAGACTTAATGATCACATCATCAATATATACCTCCATTGACCGCCCAATAAGATCATGAAAGATAGTGTTCATAGCCCGTTGGTAGGTAGCCCCTGCATTCTTTAAACCGAATGGCATAACTGTCCATTCATAAATTCCCAACGCTCCTGGGCACCTAAATGCAGTTTTGGGTATATCTTCTTCTGCTAATGAAATTTGATTATACCCTGCGTATCCGTCTATTAAACTTAAAATCCGGTGTCCCGCCGCAGAATCGATCAACATGTTGCTATTGGCATGACATATTCATCTTTTGGAGTGGCGAGATTGAGATCTCTGAAGTTGATGCAAATTCGGATCTTTCCATTTTTTTTGGTTACCGGAACGATATTGGCTAACCATTCCGCATAACGACATAGATGAATGAAACCAACCTTTAGTAGCTTTTCAATTTCTTCTTTGATCTGGGGCATCAATTCTGGACTCACCCTCCTTGGTGGTTGCTTGTAAGGTTTAAACCCCTTTTTAATAGGCAACCTATGTTCTATTAAACTGCGCGCTAATCCGGGCATTTCGGAATAATCCCATGCCAGACATTCCTTGTGATCTCGAATTAGAGCTACCATTTGCTCTTGTTGACTTTTTGTCAGTAAACCACTTACCCTAACCATCTTGGGTATCTGTTTGGTTCCCACATTATATTCAATGAGGGGGTCCTGACTTGACAGAGAAGTTTCTGTCTTTTCCAGGAGATCAAGCCAACGAAAACCTTCTTCTTCGCCAACATTATTGTTGGAAATTTTACTATTATGTAATCTAACCATTAATTGGTTTAAATAAAACTGTCTAATCATTTTATCACATTTATTTATTTCTTCCATAAATTAACTCTAAGAAAAAATTTATTTTGGCTAACAACAGAGCCATAAAAACAGAAAATTGTTTCTAATGAAACATGCAACCCTGCGTAGTGAGCTTACAACCCTTCCAGGGATACTCATCTACCATGGGTTTCCGTGAAATAGGTGGTATGTATTCCGTATAAAGAACCGATTCTTCCACTTCTTCTGTAGAGCTGAACGGATTCGTACTGGCTTCCATGGTGTAAACCTGATCTCCTTCCCAAAACATAATTTGTTGATGGAGAGAAGAAAGCACAAATTTGGAAGCGTGAATCCAATCTCGCCCCAACAAAACTGAGTATGTAGTATTGGCATCCACAACAAAAAATACAGTCGAAATCACCTTCAGTCCAACCTCAATTGGCGCCACCATCATCCCTTCTGGCTTGGTTGGTTGTCCTGTGAAGCTTGTCATCTCGATGTCTACCGGAGATAAATCACCAATCTCTTTACCCAATTTTCTCAAAGTTTTGAGGGGCATGACATTAAAAATAGCCCCATTATCGATAAAAACCTTGTTAACCGGCTTACCACATATGTGAGCGTTAACATAGAGTGGTTTTAAATGCGAGATTGCCCCTTCTGGTATAGGTGGAAAAACCATAGGTGGGGGTCTGCCAACCATTGCTGCCCATTCTGGTTCTTCCTCCTCCTCGAACTTAGCCCAAATGGGTTCTTCTTCAACGAACCATCGCATATCCGTCATCCTGACCTCGAATCCTGCTTTATCAAGTTTTACTATCTTGCTGCGCAAAACTTTCGTCTCTTCTGGGGCAAATGATCTGAAAAGAATCTCGGGGGTCTCTTCCTTTGCCATTTCTATTTCAGGATCAATAATGATCCGTTTGTAGAATTGACATCGAAAACATCTGGCCTTCTTGATCGGCTTGCTGCTCTCCCCTTATTCCTCTGTTTCGTCATTCACATCCTTCCTTTTAGGTGATGATTCTTTTTTCTCCTTGCCCTTATCTGTTTGCTTTCCATGCCGTGCTGCATACCTGCGTTTAGCATTACGGATTTGTGTGCGATTCATACCTGGAAATCGAGGGTCAATGTCTATTGGCAGAGGCTTTCTGTTTCGGCTCCATTTCTCTTGGACTGGATGTGGTTTGCGCGTTGGCCGGTCCCGTACCACGACTTTATCTTTCAATTCTACCTTGAACGACCCGTCTCCTTTGTCCCATTTCTCTGCCACTCTAGTTTCGCAAACTTTGAACTTCACTTCCTGATTGGATTGTCGTTCTTTAGGTTTGTGTTCTTTTCGTCCGGTGTCTTCTTCATCATCACTTTGCACAACTTGTGAAGACCGCAAATAGATCGTTGCAGTAGTTACTTTTGGGAAGGGCTGATGCTCTACTCCCATTGTTACATACTTGAATCTCCCTGCTTTGATAGCCTTCTGTATTTCCTTTCGGAAATGTGTGCATTGATTAGTGTAATGAGTAAAGGAATTATGCCACTTACAGTATGGCCTTTCCTTTATTTCCTCCTTCGTTGCCAAACTTTGCCCTTTAGGAATACGAATCTGCCCGTCTGCCAATAGAATATCGAAGATCTCGTCGGCCTTGGATACATTGAAAGTCGGCTGCTCCATCTCCTCTGTTCCTGGCAATGGCTTTAGTTTCGAGCATACGTACGGTTTGCCATTCACAATTTCGGCTGCCATCTCTTCAAGAATATTTCCTTCTTCTGGCGAATAAATCTCTGTATCAACACTAGCCATTTGTTGTACCCTGTTCCGACGAAAGTTGTGATCTTTTTCTCTGAACAAATATTCTAATCTCCCTGCTTTGGAGGCCAAACTAGCCAAGTCCTGAACATCATGGGCTGTCAATGCCTCCCGAAGTCTGGAATGCATGTTTCTGACCACCAAATTGGTCATTTTACTTTCTTCGATGATGGTCGGGCATTTGCCTTTCATGAGTCGTATCCGTTCAATAAACTGATACGCGGTCTCTTCTGGCATCTGTCTGATCTCTAAAAGATCTGTGAGTGAGACTGTCGGGAGAGGATTAAAAAATCTTGCATGGAATGCTGCCTCCAGGCTTTCCCAGGTTTGCAACTGCCCGGGTGGCAAATTTGCAAACCATGAAAACGCGGTCCTTGTGAGTGATAACCCGAACAATTGTAGTTTATAGAAAGAATTATTGCCTACTTCTCCTAATTGGGCCGTGAAATGTCCCACATGTTCTATAGTTGATGCCCCATCTTCTCCGGAAAACGAATGAAAATCGGGTGGTCTGTAATTCCTTGGAAGCGGATGTTCGTTGATGATTCTTTCTGAAAATGGTCTTTGGTACGCAGGTCTGTTGACCGTCTGGGGGTTCATTCCAAAATGTACCCTTAAAACCTGAGCAATGTCCTCTGGGTCTACTCTGGGTAGGACAGGATCCAATACCTGAATAGGATTGTGAGCCTGGCCTCCCAATCTGTCCCCTCTGAGATCGGTAGGCTCGGTCCTACCACCAAACGGAATGTTATTCGGGTATGTAAGAGGAGTCTTCCCTTTGTCAACCCTTGGGGTGGTAACACTTGGAAAAGTGCTCTCCACATATGAAGGCCCCACAAAATTTGCCTGTAACCTGGATGGTGATAGTTCTGGTGGCGTTTGGATGGGTTGCAAAGTAACCCTTGATAACGTCTGATTTAACGTATTTTGCATAAGATTTTGTTGCTCGCGCAACATCTGTTGCTCGTACAACATATTCTGCATGGCCAAATTATGCTGGTTGTTCAATTGCTGAACATAAGAAACCCAGTCAGCGGGTGTTTGTGGCGTTTCTCTTGTATTTGGCATGACAGGTGGTGAAACCGTTTCTCCCACCGGTGCCGAAGATGATTGAGGCTGTGAGCCTGCCATTTGGATCCTACCAACGATTCGGCCGGATCTCAATCGTATGAAACTCTCCGTTGACGTAGGATCAACAATCTTGCCTCGACTCCCACTGTGGTCGCCAAATTGTTGATGCGTTTTTTCAACAATAAAAAGTAAAATTCAAAAATAGAGAAATATTCCCGAATTTGATAGATAAATGTCTGAAATTAGAAACTTCTAAACACTGTAGAATGAAATAAGAATAAAATAAAGACTGAAAAATAAAGTGGTGATCCCCAAAAGCGATTTTCTTGAATTTGATGTCGATTGAAGATGCCCTCTCTATACCGTACAGAATCTTTAAGTAACCCCTTGAAGATACGGTTCGAACCGCTATCCGGTCGGTTACCATAACCGTTGTTAACTCCCCAAAAAATTCTCTTCTATCGACACGTATGAGAACCGTCACGTCACGTCCGATTTTAAAAACCGCTCACCAGTCGAAACTACCCCCCACTACCAGAAACTGCATTTTATCCGACCTATAGGGTAACTATTTTTAATACCTAACCTTCTTATGCCCGACCCTTTGGAATTTGTCCCGACTAGATCCGACTTCTATATCCGATCTATTTGGTCCCGACCAGGTCCAATCTTATCAACTGTCCGACTTTCTTAAATCTGACCTTCGGACTTTGACCTGATTAGGTCCGATTTTGACGTCCGAACTATTTGCTTCCGACCAGGTCCAATCTCCTCATTCGCCCGACCTAGGGGATTTACCCGACCAGATTTGGACAGACTCAAAACTCATCCGACCTGGTTACTGCAATCATATTTGGACTTTCAAAAGCCCATTGGACGTTTCGAATGACCTAATCTTGGCAGGCCCATTTCCTAAAAATCTATCCATTATTTTGTGCTCAACAGCATCATTATACTTAACATTAAAAATATTTTTATATTTATATTTATATTTTTTTTACAAATGTCATTAGTATTATAAGACATTAACGAAAGTATTTTTACAATTTTTTATTAATTTAAACTATATTTTTATACAATAATTAATATTCAAATATTAATACATAAAAAATAAATGAAACATTTAGAACCAAACGAATGTAGTATTATAGTTATAATTTCACATGTACAAGTTCACTGGTAAAGCTTTGGTAAACCCCCCACATTTGTAATACTTAGTCTCTATATTTTATTGTGTGCTATATTAAGTGGTGTGTGTTATTCTCCATGTCCGCAAATTTTATGTTCATTTAAATTGGAATTTTAATAAGTATGATTTGGGTAACTTTTTTTTTTTTTTTACTTTCGAATTTCATCTATTTTATTATTTTAGAACTTTAAAAGAATTCTTTCTGAAGATAGTTTTGCAAAAAATTGTAAAAATAATTTTTCGGTATCAGATTTGTCACGTTCGTCCGTCGTTGCTGACACAGCTGACATATTATCGTCACGTCAATGACACGTCGAATGACTATTTTAGCAAAAAAAATTTACTTGCAAAATTATTTTCAAATAAAATTCATTTAAAATTCTAAAATAATAAAAAAAATCATATGATCTGATCTGTAGTATTAAAATAATTAAACTAAGTGAATATAATATTCTAATCATATATATATAAAACAGCTCAAAAGGTGGACCCATGTAAATTTAATTTATGCAATCATGTAATCTCAGAATTTTGAGATTTTTTAGATTTTTTTTTATTTTAATTTTTTTACAGTTTTACAGAATTATGCAGAATTATATAGAATTATAGTTTTTATTATTTGATATAAGTGATAGAGGGGTGACGGTTAAAAAAAATGGACAGGGTGGTGGGATGATACAGTTTTAATTGCTCATTATTAAAATATATATAACATGAAGAAGAAGATGAGATAAA